TTAGTAAAAGAAGATGTGTTTGAACAAGAAACTTATGACCAAGATGCCACTAAACGAGAATGGGTTATAGCAATGGAAGAAGAAGTAGTTGCCTTAATGAGGAACCAGACGTGGGAACTAGTTCCAAAACCTACTGAAGTGAAACTCGTCTCATGTAAATGGGTGTATAAAGTGAAACGTAATGCAGATGGGTCAGTCGAAAGATTTAAGGCCCGTTTGGTAGCTCGTGGCTTCTCACAGCAATATGGGCTGGACTACGAGGACACTTTTAGCCCAGTGGCGAAGTTAACTACAATCACGGTTTTGTTGGCTTTGGCAGCTAGCAAGGGATGGAAACTTTGGCAAATGGATGTAAGTAATGCATTCCTATATGGAAACTTGGATCATGTCATTCACATGGAACAACCTCTTGGATCCAAAAGCAAATAGCATCCTAATTATGTATGTAAGCTCAAGAAGGCGTTGTACGGGCTTAAACAGTCTCCAAGGGCGTGGTTTGTGAAAATTGGTGAATTTCTTGAACACAATGGATACACAAGAACATCTGCAGATGCTAGCCTGTTTGTGAAGAAATTTGGAAGAAAAGTAGTGATGGTGCTTGTATATGTCGATGACTTAATAATTACAGGTGATTTGGATGACATGATAGCTCAGCTCAAACATAACTTGTGCACTCGGTTCTTCATGAAGGACCTAGGGAAATTGAAACACTTTCTGGGGTTAGAAATCAACTATGATGATGATAGTTTAATTCTGCACCAACATAAGTACTATACTGATCTATTAAAGAGGTTCAAAATGGTTGATTGCAAGGGAGTTGTAACACCCATGGATAACAATGCTAAGTTGTGTGCTAACATGGGTAAGGAGTTAGATGATGCAACAATATATAGAAAGTTGGTGGGTAGTCTTATATATCTCACTTTAATGAGACCAGACATTGCATTTGTAGTTGGTGTGTTAAGTTGTTACATGCAGAGTTCAAGAAGCCCCCACCTTGGGGTTGCTAGAAGGTTATTAAGGTATATTAAGACTACTCTCAATTATGGAATCCAGTTTAAGAGGGAATCTGAATGTAAGCTGATGGGATTTTGTGACTCTAATTATGTTGGTGATTTGAACACTCGAAGGTCAACTACAGGTTATATCTTCATGCTTGGATCCAGTATAGTATCTAGGTGTAGCAAGAGTTAACCCACAGTCTCTCTTTCCACAACTGAAGCCAAATAAAGAGATGCTGCAGTACCATCTCAGGAATGTGTGTGGCTTGTGAAAATTTTAAAGGATTTGAACCAAGAAGTTAACTATAGTATTTCGCTGCTTTGTGATAATATGTCATCAATCAAGCTTGCTCAAAATCCTACTTTTCATGAACGTACCAAGCACATTGAAGTTCATTATCATTTTATCAGAGAAAAGGTCTTAAAAGGGGAAATTGACCTTATATATGTAAACACTGCTGATCAGGTTGCAGACTTGCTCACAAAGAGTTTATCAAGTGCAAAACTGGTTGATTTTGGCGACAAGATGGGTATGGTAGAAGTTGATGTTGAGAGGGAATGTTAAAAGAGAACAATATCAACTTGGTCAACCAGTCACGTGCAAGCCTTCTGTTATTCTTCAGTTATTTTATTTATGTTTCAGTAATTGCTTTGTTGAATTAGTCAAGCTAGTGGGTAGTTTGTTTTCATAGCCTTATTCCTGTTTTCTAGGTAGCAGCATGTCACACCCCAAAACCGAAGGCAGAAACGTTCCGGGGTGGAGGACGTCATGAATATCGCAACCAATGTACATAGTAAGCATAGTAAACACAAAACAATACATTACATAGAAATATTTAGATTATTTGCAAACAAAGAGTTACAAAGGTTATACATATATATCATATGAACAAAAGTTAATACGAGACTTCTGTACTCTCCGTCTTCTCCAAAAGATCGCGAGTACCTGTCTAATATGGACCTGAGAATACAAGCAGTTTGAAAATTAGCATAAAGCTGGTGAGTTCATAAGAGGTTTGTTTTCTGAAAATATACAAGTTTCCTTGGTTTTTCGAAAAAAGTTTGTTATCCAAGAAAATCCCACATTTTCTTATAAGTTTAGTTGAGTTATCCGTTTATTATACGATCCGGTTATGTACAGTTTGTTATCCTAGGAAAAACCCTTATTTTCCTAAAAGTAAAGTTTAGCTGTTGAATTCAAATGTGATGTACAATTATCTAACAAACTTGTTTTATTAGCTAGGTATTCTGATATTCTAGTTATTCTACACTCGAATGTATCCAGATGCGTACTTTCGTATTCGTATTCCTATTCGTATCCGTATTCGTATTCGTATTTATATTTGTATTCGTATTCCTATTCCTATTTGTATTCGTATTCGTATACGCATTCATATTCGCATTCATATTCGTATTCATATTCGTATTCCTATTCCTATTTGTATTCGTATTCGTATTCGTATTCGTATTCGTATTCGTATTCGCATTCGTACTCATATTATTCCTAGCTGAACTTTCGTATTCGCTCTGTTCCTAGCTGTACTTTCATATTCCCTCTGTTCCAAGTTGTACTTTCGTATTTGCTCCGTTCCTAGCTGTACCTTCGTGTTCGCTCTGTTCCTAGCTGGACTTTCGTATTCGCTCTGTTCCTAGCTATACTTTCGTATTCGCTCTGTTCATAGTTGTACTTTCGTATTCGTTCTGTTTCCTAGATGTACTTTCGTATTCGTATTTGTATTAATCCTAATTGATGATTAGTATGAATTATTCATAAATTATGAAATATAACATAGATTATAACACTTTATAAAGAAATCTACATTTAGTCTGAAAGTTTACTCTGCAGTTCGAACCATTGGTTAATACGATTATTGATAATAAAAGCATACAATTTATGAAACATTTGAACTGAAAGTAATAAGTTTAAGTACAAGATTTTCTTGTACTTTTGCTTGTATTCCCCCCTGAAAACATGTGAACAACAGGGAAAAGGGTAGGGGTATGAACTCACCGGTCGAGAAGCGTGTCAGATTGGGTGCTAATCGTCAGTTCGGGGATTGATAACGCGTGAGGTTCCTATATAATGTGAAATGATATACAAATGTATCTAATTAGATATGATTATACACTCTAAGACGCAAAAACACTTCAAATCAAGTGTTTAGAGTGACTTGGGTGATATCTACGGACGTATATGGCTTACCGAAATAAGTTGTCATATGTGAACAAATCAGAAAATACATGTGAAAATAAGTAAATTTTAAAAATCTATTAAAATGCCATGTGTCCAAATCAATGAGGACATGACATGTGGTAGAAAATGGGTTTTATTTATTAGTGTAGATAACATGAAAGTGTTCTTTTCCCTTAAACACCAGCCTACAACTTAAATCGAATAAAAACTAATGAAATACTCATCTAAAGAGAAAAAAAGCCACGGCCCTATTCAATCAAATATAGTTTATTCTGGTGAATTAATCAAAAATAATAACAGAACTTGACGTACTGTAGGGTTTGAACTACTGATGTAACCAGCGATTCTAAAAATTGGATTTGTTTACCATCTCTTATGCAGGTCCTTATCTTTTGTGTGTCTATATATATATATATATATATATATATATATATATATATATATATATATATATATATATATATATATATATATATATATATATATTAAATTTGTACAGGAAGATGGTTCTTTTGCAAGTAGTAATTGTGATTCCCTTGATTTTCAAAGAACAAATGGACAATCAAGAATGTGCGTTTTATAAACCAATAATCAAGCTTATTGCTATTAAAGAAGGTATTCACATCAAAACTATAAATTTCATTTGCTTTAATTCTTGGAAACAAGTATGACCCTCAAAATGATCTGGTACAATTCCATATTCATAGATGAAAACAGACGCTACATGGAATTTCAAATAAGTCCACTGAATCAAGAAGTTTACCCAATACATCGCATGAAGCACCATTAGTGAATATGATACTCATCTTTGTTATAATTAAGTATTGTTATTATATGTTTTAGTTCAATAAGATAGCTAACTTGTTTTTTTCAACACTTTCAGACTCAAGGCCTAGAATCCAGTGCAGATAAACTTTATGATACGTGTATCCAAAGAAGCAAGCAAGACAAGTCCTTTATTTGTATTTTCATTTTTGATAATTAATGGGCTAGGCAAATGTAATGAAATTTGTTTTTTTATAGGTTAAATGTATTAAATTTGTATTATTATAGGTTTAATGTATTGAGTTTTTTCTTCAATATGGGCAGAGAAAAAAAAAAAAAAAAAAAAAAAAAAAACTGGATTTCTTACAACTTTTACTATTTTTTTGTTTTTTTTAATTAAATTCAACATTCCCTTGGAAATAGGTAGGAAACTTGTTCTGTTGGTATTTTGTAGGAAAACAGCGTTTCAATACATTTTGTTTTATCAGAAATTTCGTTGGAAGTTTGTATAGGAACCATGTTTCCTACGGCCCTTTTCCAGCAAACTAATTGCCTCGGAACTTTGTTGGTATATGATGTTTCCTGTTAGCTTGTAGGAAACCTTTCAATTTTCTAGTAGTGTATTATTTTTATAGACTCAATGGAAAATATTTTCCCCAAATAAAAGAATAGTGGCTGTAGTTTAAGATATAATTTATAAATCAACAATGAGACCAAATTAGACACAACATGCACCATAATGGACAAAATTGTAGTATGTCTCTGCACTCATAATTACTTGGATTTCTTAAAAGGGAAACTTAATATCCAAAGAATGTTTTATTGCCGTAGAGGAACATCTGTCACTTGAAAAAAAACTACATTATTGTTGACTGTTAACTTGGCTTTCTGTTAAGCAAAAGGCTATATTAGCACAACCCATTTGCCTTGCTACTCATCCAGCAGCATTGTAAGAGTAACTAGCAACATCTAAAAGGCAATGAAGAATTTCGGTTTTGTTCTGTTCTTGGTTCTCCTGGCAACAACTTCATTGGAGATCAATGCTCAGACTTGCAAACCAAGTGGTGGTATCCGGGGAAGAAAACCGCCTCCAGGAGAATGAAACCGTGAGAACAACTCGGATTGTTGTGTCCAAGGTAAGTTTTACACCACGTATACATGCTCGCCTCCGGTGACAGGCGATACTAAAGCAACACTGACAATAAACAGTTTCCAAAAGGGAGGTGATGGTGGTGGTCCATTGGAGTGTGACAACCAATACTACTCTGATGACACACCAGTTGTGGCGCTGTCAACTGGATGGTACAAAGGAGGGGATAGGTGCCACAAGTATATTACCATCAATGGAAATGGGAGAAGTGTAAAGGCAATGGTTGTGGATGAGTGTGACTCTACTATGGGGTGCGATGGTGATCACGACTATCAACCACCTTGCCCTAATAATATTGTTGACGCTTCCAAAGCAGTGTGGAAGGCCTTAGGGGTATCCGAGGATAACTGGGGAGATTTGGATATTACTTGGACAGAGTGATGTTAATCTAGCTCTCCTATTAAAACATCAAATACTATTTCTGTTTCTGTTTCTTGTGGATATTGTAATTTGTAAAGGTATTGATGTAACTATATATACTAATGACTAGAGGTTCACACCAAACTTATAGGCACCAATCCATTAAAACCCATATATAGATATATTATGTTATACACATATTAACATACCTTTAAATGTATATGGATTCAAACAACAGCTGATATGACACGCAGAGACGCACAAAAACCATTCAGCGCTATAATCAATTCCACTACAAAATTTTAGACTTCTTTTTCAAACTCTTATGAAGCAGCCCTACAAATAGACTTTACCACAAGCACAATAATAAATAATCATGTGTATTCACGTTCTAATTCCCTTTATGCAATCAAACAACACCCTAACCATAATCACAAGCGACCCGAACGCATAACAAACTCGAGCTGATTGTTATCAAAACAAAACCACAACATATAGCAGTGAAATTATCACCCATATGAAGTCACGACACCAACAGCTTCTTGATTTGATACCACATCCCAAATCCCAGCACATCCGAAAATCATAAACTCAATATCTTTGCTCGATACCATTTGTCTCACTTCTTGTTTTCTAAGAAGGGATGATTTTCTAACTGATTGGTAACTCCATATGCCAGCCTGGTAGGGCCTGCAGGACCGCCAACTCATAGTTGTGATGTCCATCTTCTGTATACTCACATAATTCTTTCACTCTCTTCTTCTCATCTAAATAACACGACATATCTTCTTGTGACAATGGAATTGTGATTCCATTCCGACACAAGACTGCACTAGATTGATGGAGACGAAACGAAAGCTAGTTGACCATACTTACAAAGACTCTCAGTAATGGTTTTCCGGCAAGCGTGTGATTCTCCCGTAGAATATCACGATCGATTCATGCTTGTCTTACAAAAACAGTATTTCCTGTTTTCTTTGTTGTTCTCGCAAGAGATTCTTGGGAGAGCATCACTAATGATTGATTCTTTTTTTACTAAAGCAATATGTGTTTCCACTTTCTTATTAAGCAGTGAGTGAGCGATTCTCCTATCTCTTGGAAAGAGGTGCTAAACGGCCATTTCTCTTTACTCAAACGCTTGGGAAATTTGTCTTCTAAGGTTTTAAAATCCCGAAAACTGGTATTAACGATTTACATTTGTTGTATGAGGATTAAACAATTAATGTGGTTCTCGCATAGTTAAGGGTGTTCACGGAGTGGTTCAGTTCGGATATTCATAAAATTGTGAACCGTAACCACAAAGCGGATATCTAATGTGCAGTAACCGAAACCGAACCGAATTGTGTAAAAACTGGAACCGGACCGAACCGTTTGAAGGTTGGTAACCACGGGTGAGTTTACGGGTACCCATTAAATATAACCAATCGAAAATATAATAAAAAATACAAACTACCAATATGTCAATTTGGAAGTAAGAAAACTTGTTGAAGTTCAAATTATACATTAGAATTTATATGATAACTATAATAATAAAAATAACTATAACTAGAATTTATATGATAACTAAAATAATAAAATTAACTATAAAACATGATGAATATAAAAAAAAATCTCTCAATTTTAGGGATACCAATATATGCACACAAAAAACATATACCATACAGTTTATAAGAAAACATAAAGACACACAATTTATGAAGCAGATATAAGCGATAAAAATCTAAAGTTCTAAGTTCTAATAGAAAAATACCATAGACATAAACGAGCATGTTAGATGAGAAAACATATATAATCCAGTTTCTTATTTTTTTAAGTTTATTTAATTTAATTACTTTTACATTAACTAATATATATATATATCACGGTTTGGTTCGGGTATCCGTAGATATTGAAATATCCAAACCGTAACCGACCCATTAATAGTTGGTTTCTTTGGTTTCGGTTTTTTGTCGGTTTCAGTTTGTCCGGTTTTGGATTGGCCGGATCGGTTCGGTTTTGCGGTTTTTTTGCACACCCCATCCCATAGTAATTGTTGATGCTACTTTTGTTAGTGAGGGTTTGGTTAGGTATTTGAAAGGCTTTTCAATGGGAATGTTTTAGATCCTTTAAAAATGATTAATTCACACGCCCGGTTTTTAGGTGGGTGGGGGGCAAGAGGGGCTGCCTCGCAGGGCCCCGAAAAAATAGGGCCCGAGTTTTAATTAAATTATATATTTAAAAACTAAATATTTATATGAATTTATTATAAATATTTCATAGAGTTTGGGTAGCACAATTGGAAAAGGCATGTCTTTTATTCTAAAGCAATGCTTGTTCTATCCTCTTTCATAGTTTTTTGATGTTTTATATTCAAGTTACACTTTTGACCATTTCTTTATACTATATATTTCATAATCAACCCCTCATGATATGTTTAACAAATCAGTTTTCAGAAGTTACATAATTAGCCATTGAACTTTACATAAAATTCAATATGATCCTTTTTAATTAATTAATTTACTTTTAAGTTTTCCGTAACGAAATTACCGTTTAAAATTTGTTTTCCTTATATATTAAAAAATTGTATTTAGGGGCTTCATTTTTCTTCTTAGCACAAGGCCCTTAAAATCATAGAATCAGCCCTGTTAATTCATATATGAAGATTGTGGCAGCTTGTAATCTGGAAAGAATAATTCCATGGAGCGATTTTTCAAGTATGATGTTGTTTCGGAGCTGCCATGGCCATCAAAAATAGCGTAGAAGGAAAATGGAACTTGGAGTGGTCATTTTGACATATGATCCACTCATCTTAGTTTGCTTTGCATGTGACTTCTGGTGTCTATGTGAGACTTTTTGATTTCATGTTCGAGTTGAATCATTTTATCGCGGGGGGGGGGGGGGGGGGGAGGGGAGTATGGTTTTGAAACTATCTGGATAGTTTACAATGTATTAAAAGATGAATACAAATGCATTAGTCCATGAGATAGATGTAAATGAAGCAAGATTCACTCTAAATATCACATCGAGTAGGCTAAACAAGATAGTAGGTGTGCAACAAGATCAACCAAACTAGCATGTGTAAACTCATTTCAAACTAGCATGTGTTTGTAAAAACAATTAACCTAGTGAGATCCCTTAATTTCTAGTGGTTTCGCAATGTTGAGGCCCAATTCAACAAAATTATTTAACATTCAACGGTAATGTATCAAATGCTCTACACAACAAGCCTTTCATTATGAGCCATAAAGATTTGAATACAACTTTTAAAAACGATATACATGATCTCTATAACCTAAATTAATTGTTCTATTGTCTGATTATATAAACTTCCATTCACATTTAAAATAAAAAACTTGATTGCCTATTTTTAATGAATGACCCTTAAGTTCACTCGTTACAGAGAAAATAACATGAAATTGTTCTTTACCTTCAAACACAAGCCTTCAACTTAAATCCAATCAAAACTCATGAAATACTCATATAAATAGAGAAAAGCCACATCCCTATTCAATCAAATATAGTTTATTATTATGAATTAATCAAAACTTACAATGGAACTTAATGTATTATAGGGTATTCAAAAACTTCACACATGGATGGTTGGGAATTGATATTGAAATTTGAACATAATCAGTTTAATGAAATCTAAATAAATCTAGAATCACACCGGAACATAATGTCGTGAAGGGTATCCCTAAATTTCACAGAGGATAGTTGGGATATTGATACTGAAATTCAAAAATAAAACAAACAAGACATGTGTATTAAGTAAGAATTTGTTTGATTGAAATTAGGGATCTGAGTCATCAAACAAAATTTAATGAAGTTAGAGTTTGTTGTGGGAATCTAGATCAGTGTAACTATGTATATATAAGTTAATGGTTTTGAGTGTATCATCAATATATATAGTTGAACTATATTAATTCGTTTGGTCAAAATTGCTACATTTGTAATTTGTTCATATATTTAATGTTTTTTGTTCTTTTGCATCTAGACTATCTTTTTGATATTCTATTATAACACTATACGTTCCTACAGAACAAAAAAAGAGAAGATTATCCTTAATAGATTATTTTGTATTTTTCTAATTTCTATTATTTTTCTTTTTAGATTCACCATCAACTCTACTCCCACTCTAGCAATCCACAACAATCCGTTGGCAACCATTTTGTTCTTCAGTCCGACACAATTCTACTATATATCAAATGTGGTTATTAAACAAATTAATACAATTTATTTGTGTCACACTCATCCACAACTTATTCTTATATTTCGAATGTAATTATTTTATTTATCAATTGTCATTTTAAAAGATTAAAATAATTTGAAGTAATAATGTAGCCGGTTATATTTTATTAAGCTTATATAACACAAAAAATGTAAATAGATATATTGAAAGCTAATAATCCGAATGATACTTTTGACAATCTATATAAATCCAAAAAATGGAATTTGCTAGGGGATATAGTTTTAGTGCAAAAAAATTGTGTAAGGTAAGGTGAAATAGTATCAGGACAAGTTTTTACACTATTTTCGTATAAAAAGTTAGAATCGAACCGTGATATTTAAAGACACTCAAATATATGAATTCACTAGCACAAACATAGATGCTAGAGATAGAAAGATAATTACAAGGTAATTAAGAAGTTGGAATCAATGTCTAAAAACCGGTTTTGTAGTAGAACCAGTGCGGTGTCCGGTTTCAATTCAACCGGTTCGACCGCCGGGTTAACTGGTTTCTATAGTTTTGTTTTTCCAATTTTTCTATTCGAACATTCATATATAAATACTAAATTTGACGTTTACAAGTTCAAACATTATATATATATATATATATATATATATATATATATATATATATATATATATAAGTTTGAGTGTTTTACATCAATCCATATAGGTAATAACAAAAAAATATAATACCGAAACAAAATATAGTTTTAGATAAATATATACGCATCAAAAACTTTATAACATCTACCATATATTTTATTTAGAGAAAACTAAATAAATTTGAAAAAAATAACCACCGTTTATTGTGC